TTCTCACCCCCTAAGAGTGAGCCTATTATATGCGCCACCCTGTATATATATATGTGTGTGTGTGTGCTTTGAGTATATCATGGTTATGATACATGATTTTAATTGAATTCTATCGCTTTTTTTTAGCTCAAGGATCGCTTCAAATGCATTTATTTGAAATAGATATACTCTCTTCGTATTTCACATTTGGTTATATTATGGTCATTTTGCATACAGACATTTCCACTGCATTTTCGTTCAAAATTTCCCCAATTTTCCAACCACATGGAATGGGATTATGAGTATGAGTAAAAATAGCGAGAGAATTGTGCAGATTGTTAGTAGATGGATTGTTCAACCGTAACAAATGTTGTCATTATACAGAACGCGTAGATGGGGTTTAGTTTTTTTTCACTCGCATTTCAAAAGAGAGAATAATTGACTTCAATTCTGAACACTTTGTCATGTATAAAACCGATGCTGCCACAGTCAGTGTTTCGATATTTAGTATTGTATGTTTTTCGAATTGAAAAGCCACTCAACCCAAATATGCATACCACTATATCGTACCACTACTCCTAATCTGTGTTGTTGTTGTTATTATTTTCGGTGTGCGTGTATCATTCAGTCCCTTAGGCATCAATTTCAAAATATTTCAAGCACGCAAATTTTATTTCTAGTTTACATTACATAATCACCAAAAAAACGGCATTATTATTCGTTTTTTATCATTCATTCAAGTGTATGAAATAACGCAATCAAATTTTCGACGACGCTGTTACTGAAAAAGTAAATAAACACGGAACGGAAAAAGTAAAGAACAATATAGAAGTAATGAATTGTGACAGCTTCATTCGCCTTTGATATATCTCTTAATAAATTTCTCCATGTTATTGCCTTCGCAATACATACACTCTCTTTCACTTTGGAGTCGAATTTGACACGGCGTTGAGAGATTGAATATATGTGTTTTGTTTTAATCGTCACCGTCTCGATGGCGTCGTGTCCATAATCTTTCGGTTTCCATCTCGCGTATCGACTTTTCGAATTCTTTCACACCAACAGTGCGACTACAGAAGAGTGGCTCTATCTCTTTCCTCATATAACAGAAATATTGGCACGCATGCAAAGCAAACAATTTGAAAAACTAATGAGCCGTATATATAAATGGATGACAGTGAACATAGAAAAAAAATATTTGATGCCTGTCCGCGTATGGACTCGATTTCATCGAACGGCTTAAAATTACAATTTAATTTGGTCTGACAAATAAGTGGACACATCGAGAGAAAGCAATCATTGCTGTTGAAAGGAGTGATCCTTCACTAAATTGCTGATCAAAGAGAAACTTTTTTAATTGAGTTACTTGTGTGTGTGTGCACAGGAAACTTTTTGTTTATCTTCTTTTTTACTATTTCAAATCATTATACTGAATGTCATCTGTATAGTGCCTAGTGTGATGATGATGGTGATGAATCGACGAAAACCATCATGAGCTTTCACTTGACGTCACATCAACCACCATAAGAATGGAGCGAAAGAGTGAAACACTTTATCGCTGTTAAGTAAGTTCAATTCGTTTCAATCCATACTACGTTTGAAAGTGAAAAAAGGTTATGGTGTGCTTAAAAACCGGAGCAAGGACAAAAAGTGAAAATTGACTTTTCCATTTGGCTCCAACCAGTAAATATATTGAAAGAGCATTTATGTAGCAGGCACTTGAACACCCGCACACACACACATACACAATGTGCATGTTGCATCTCCATGTCGGCTCCAACCCAAGTCTAATTTTAACATATTTTCCATAATTTACGCCACTAATTGGTTTTTATATACGGCGACTACGATTGGTGCCAATATGCTGTTTTTTTTTTTTTTTTTTTTTGTTTTCATAGTCGTTGTTGTTTGCCGTGTTTTGCTAGCCAATTTCATTTTTCTTGCCAATTCACTTCATTTAATAGATTTATTTCTGTTGCTGTTACGTGCTTGCAATGTATTACAAAATCACACCCATTATCTAAATAGAGTAAGCAATTTAATCTCTTAAATAAATACCTTTCGATTTGTTATCGCGGATGTCATTCTAAAGTAAACAGCCTAATGTTTTTTTGTTACTAAATTCGTCATTCTTTCGTGCTGGTTTTGAAAATTCATATTTTGAAATCGGTGATGATTTGGAAATTTTATATAGTTGATGTTGACACTTATTTGTATCAAATATGTAAGCCTTCTTCAATCATGTAAATTATGTTTTCCGAAATCAATTTATGACTTGCAATTTTCATCCTGCCAAATAAACATCTAGCACTTTTCTATCCAAAGAGTGAATGGCAAAACACATTAATTTTTGATAAGATACTATTTGATATGCTGAAAATCACTTTTGCAAAAAAAAAACTAAAAAAAAAAACAACCAACACCGTCGGCCTTCATCGAATCTGGCATTGAAATTGAGTAACCAAAAGCGCGAAACTAATACGTATCGATTTTAAATCAAATCGGTGCCGTATCCCATTTGAACGAAATCACTATAATCGCTAAACTAAAACCAAATCATATCTCTCTTCTATTCTTCAGTCAAACACGAACCAATTTTTTTTTTAAAGTATTGTGTGCATTCAAACTTATTCAGAATCTGTTCTTGGATTAAGCGACTAAAAATATTGTGTGACGACCAACATCGTCATCATCAGTCTAATTAACTGAAAAGGAGATATAATTTTTGTTGGTAAGTGTTTTGTTTTTGTTGTTTTGTCTTAATTACAGTACTTTTTTCATATTTTATATAGTCATGATTTAAAGAGAAAGATTTTTTGAGAGCGGTCATCATAAAGATTCAGAGAAAAAGACAGAAATGTGCGCGTCTCAATTACCGCTGGTTGTATCATTTTGTATTCGGAGAATTTGTAATTATGTTACCAGCAGAGTGAGCGCAGCATGCATTTATTTACCATTCAGTGTGGTCTCATTCTCTCTTTCTCATTTAAACTAGCTAAAACATTCAACGGAAATTTTGATTTTATTGCAGTCGTGAACGACGATTACAACGACGCACAGACAATGTTGTTGAGAAAATATGAAGAATATCCCTTGAAAATAAAAACATTCTTTTTTCGCCTTCTGGTTTTGGTAAACATAATTTTTTTTTGGTACGACCATATCGTCACGATATACGGGTCCAAAACTCACAACAAGAATTGTCTTCACTCATTAGCTTAAGCAAATACTTTTAAACTGGTTTTAACTCTTTTTTTTTTACTGATAACCATTTTTTATGCTTTTAACCTTCGATTCGCTGAAAAGATTTCGGCAGAAGTATCATACACTTTATGTGTAGAAGTTCCATCGGTGAGAAGAAGCTCCAGCGAAATGAAATTTCCTTTTTATTTAAACGTATATAGACACTAAATGAATTATGAACATTTCCCCTCGTGCTCAAATGAAAACCCACTCACACACAATCGGATCTGATGAAGAACCGTTAAATCTTAAAATCCTATCAATTTGCATGCACACCATGTATGCTTGCTGATTTTAAATGGAATCACATCTAGATCGGGAGACATATTTCATTTTCTCTTTTTCCAGCCGTGAAATCGATTTCAATAACTCACATTTGCCATTTATTCCAATGGATTATTATTTTTTTTATTATTTTCATCTCTGTTCTTTAATTCCCGACTTATTTCGCATATTCATTGATTTCCGTCCATTCAATTGAATCAGACGAAATCAAATCGAATTACAGCAAAAAAAAAATGTATAAAAAGCGAGAAATTGTCATAAGCTTCGGTGCCATTTCAAAGATAAGATTATTTTTACTTGATTGTGCATATTCAACGCAACTTTTTTATAATGTGCGAAAGTAAACATTTACTCGGCTAGACCTACTCACTGAACTGTTTATTTTCATTCGAGTTCGTACGAATTCTCATTGGAAAATGACCGAAGCAAATATTTTTGATTCCGAACGGTTTTAAACTGAATTTGAACGAATGTCGTGATTGAATAAAGGAAATGCTGTAAATATTTAAATATTATACCTTTCCAAAATAAAAATGATGATATTTGATAATGTGAAAACAAATTGAATAATATAAAGAATTGTGGTGATTAATTACGAGTTACTTTTAATTTTATCTAAATATTTAAAAATGTGTTCGATTTCGACATTTTCGGCGCATAAACATATTTGAATGTCATATCTATTTCGCTTGTTCAAGCTGACGCGCGCAAAATGAATGAGCAAAAAATATTTAAATTGTCCAAATAAGAGAAGAAGAAGAAAAAGAAGAAGAAAACCGTTGATTAAATGTTTTATGCTGTGTGCGCACAATGGTATCCACAGCTGTTGCGCATTTGGCTGATCAACCAAAATAACGTAAACGATATCAACAACATGAAAAATTGTTTTCACATACTTTGGGCATGATCCAGTTGTTGTGTTTGGTTGCTAATTACAAATTGAATTGAACTTAGTTTGCTCGAATTATTATTTTAGTTAAAATGATTTATAAATAATGGCATGGAAATGATCGACATATATTTAAATGAACCATTGACCATTCATTAAATTGTTGATAAAACTGGAAGCATTTAAAAATAATACCATCAGCCTATCCAAATTCATTGACCGTAATCATATTTTTCTTCATTTGAATATGAACAAACGGTTTTTTCGGTTAATTTTTCGATTCCATGTGTAACTAATTGGATGGTTTTTTTTTTTTGCTTTCATCAATCCGTTCACACAAGTGAATAAATCATCAATGGTTATTAAGTGAAAATAAAATCATTTTCAAATCGATCTATAACCATTGTTCTCGACGAATGAATATTGAGCAATAAGCTTCCTGTCACTATACAATGACGACATACAGTCTTTTTTTCTCTTTTGAATGCTCATTTCGTATTCGATTCATGGTTTTGTCACTCACATAAAATTTTGTCATAATTACCTCGATGCAGGTGTTTTCGCACGTTAAAATTTGAATACTAATTAGCCGACGATCAATTGAACCGACATGATCGCGTCTCATTCAATGAAAGTCAGTATGTCGAATACATTCCGGCTGATTATAGATTTATGTTTCCATAAATCTAAGTTGTGTATTTGTTTAAATAAGTGCAGATCTCTTTGGCTATTGAACACCCACCTTATTTTAAATGCATTTCCATTTAAAATATGAGTAAGAGAATCATTCAATTCGAAAATGGGGGAATGAAAAAACTCGCATAATATTTTTGACTCGACCTGAATTCTCTTTCTCTCTTGTTGTTTGATTAGAATAACATACAGACTACTAACGTTTTTTTTTTTCTAAACAAATGTTGCGGCTTCGATAAATGTTTCGTTTCGTCGTTTTTTCTCTCTCGAGTTTGTGTGTTTGTGTATCCATATGTGTTTGATCTGTTTTCGATCTAACCACTTGTTGTTGAAACAACGTTCCAACGACCGTGGTTCGCGTATTTTTTTTTATATATATTTTATACTCTCTTTCTCACTCTCTATCTCTATATGGCGTTTAATTCATTTGCATAAATGACTATTTCGCATTGAATATGTACGTTTTATATCAATTCCCATCACCGTTTTCAATTCCCCCAATTTTATGTTTTGTTCTATTTTTAAATGTGTGACCTAATCGCATTCAGTCACTTTCTGTTCGTGCTGACACTAACAAAAGCCGAAACATGCAGAAAATGGCCAAATGTATGCGACTCGGAATCATTTCCAGTTGAAAACATTTCTATAAATTTATAGGCCATTATCGACGGAACTTATTATTATTTTACCAGTTATTCTTTTCTTTATGACATAATACCGCTGACACGCATAGTCAATTCCATTTAATTGTCCATCTTTGATTCGACTATCCTGTTAAAAGACGAAAAGAACGGAGACCGAATAACAGAAATGACAATCGCAAAAAAAAACAAATCGTGTTGAAATTTGTACTGCTGATGATGATACAGGACGGGAAAAAATGATGGAGAAAAAAATTCTACCTAGATAATTGGCTATAATTCGAGCCAATCAAGTGGTAATCTGGGGACCAGTTCAATTCACTCTATCAATCGAAATAATATAGATGACATTTCCAGTTCCTCTTCTTATTTCTTCTGAGATCATGGAAACTAATTCTTGTTATTTTGATGACTCTTTTTTTGTTGTCGTAACTTATATCCGGATTATTTTACATAAATACTTGATCAGCGAGCGATCGAACGAACACACATATACAGGCGTGTGCTCGAAACATTTGTTGATTTTGAGCCCATAATCATCTTCTTCATGTTATTTAAGAAAGAAGAAAATATGAACAGAATATCTGTTTTGCAAACGACGCCACAAAAATCGTTTTAAACATTTGAATATAAACAAAGGCAATAAAAATGATCGGTTTGCTGTTTAGCCGTTTACACAATTACGCTGTGTGTGTGTGTGTTTTGAGTTCAATTCGTGATGAGAACAAAGCGTTCATCAGGCATTGAAATCATCAATCTCAATGGCCTTTATATGTCATAATCCCACAATCAGTGAGATTCTTTTTTTGTTGCGTTAAAATGTTTGAACCACGAATTAAAGCAATAACAACATTCAAAATATGTTATTATTCGCGTCGAAATGTCTGCGAAATTATTTCAGAATGGCATCAATACGAATTCTCACAGCACGTGCAGTATTTTAAAATAACTGAAAGTAAAAAAAAAACGTTGCTGCTTTTTGGCATCAATTTCACATCATCGATAAATATTATAAAACATGTCAATTTTACGTATTTTAATTCCGAAAAGTTGTTTTTTCTGCACAAGTAGCAACAATGGCGCTGTATTTTCAGTTGGTTTGGTGGTTTCTTTTTTGCGTTTCGTTTAGAGTTCATTGATCAGTTGGTATGCTCTGTGCACAAGTATATGAGAGGTGAAAGAGATTACATCACAATCATAAGGTCCCTGCTGTGGTCGGTAGTGTATTTGATTAATTTTATTATTATAAAACTTATCAGTAATTGAGATAGAACCGGAACAGAATTAAAAAGCACAAAGAGAGAGAAAAAATTAAAAAAAAACACACACACGCGATTATTCGAGCGTATTACTTGTCTATGTACGTGTTAACTTCAACTAGAAATGATCTGATCTTGACTTTCAGAGCCAATGCACACGCAAATATAAATTTATGAACGAAAACAATATACGGCAAACATAGAGAACGAAAAAAAAGAGGCAAACCATGTGTGTGTGACGTTGAAATACAAATGAACATGAAAGCGCAGCGGTTTATTTTATATACCCTAAGAACCATCGCGAATAGCTTGCCTATTTGGTTTTATACTTCCAAGATTTGCGTGCGTCTTATATGTGGATTATTGTTTTGCAATTCACAAAGAATGATTTCTGAGTATTCTCGAGTTTCTACGTCAAAATGTTTGTTTCTTTGGGTTTTCTTCATTTCTTATTTGTAAAGAATTATTTGCTCGATGTTCCGCACGCACCAAATATTGATAGAAAACAAAATGCGGAAAAGTTAGCTTCGAGTGAAAAGATCAAATTTTGAAATGGCTTTGGCTCGCATATTAAAATGACGAAGATGAAAAAAATTACACAAACACACATACAGTCGAACGAACCGTGTAAAAAATGGTACGTTTAATGAAAACAAGTTTAGATACACGTTGTCTCAAACAAACGATAGAAGAACAATTAAGTGTTTTGCTCTAGGTTTTG